AAATTCCAACAACCCAACCAGGGCCAGTCAAATCCACCACAGTCTCGCGCTGAGCTAGGAATAAAGTTCACGTAATCACATGAGAGTGGAGAAAACAGTCCCCCATGCGTAAGTTCAAATCAACTCAAAGTTCACAATGTGACATGATGGCGTCATGTAACAAGGCTAAGAATCGGTTGCATGACAATTGCCGTCCAGTTTCGTGGAGGTGCTGTGATTGGAGCGTTTCTCTTGGATGTCGTATCAGTTGATGATTGGCCAGTCATGATCACACGTGCATTTTCTTGACTTTGTGCTGCCACGACCTTTTTTGCTGTGCTCATTTTCGTTTCGTACTTGGTGCTTGCAGTGGTTTTTACTTTCTGTTGTTTGGTTTTTCTTGTTCAGCGTTTTTTATGCTTCTCTAGATGTCACATAGAGAAAAAAAAAACCAAAACCAAAAGAACAACAACCAAAAAAAATTTAGTAAAAGTAAAGATGAATTCCTGAATTGTCAAACATGGGATCATTTAACTGTGCAAACCATTCAATTTTTTTTCTTAAAAATAAGGAAAACATCTTAAAAAAATATATCTATGCGTGGTTGATTTACTTGCACTTGAAAACATTGTGATTTTATTTTTTTTCTAGAAATTTGGGGGCCTTTTTCAATTGACACTTTCCTAGGTCTGATCTTTTTTCCAGTTAGGCTATTTTAAATCTCACTCTTAATGGAAAAACAAAACTAAAAAAAAAAAAAAAATTAAAACCAAAAATTTTTATAACAGAATGAGAATGATTAAAAAAACAAAAACAAAATCCTAGAGTTCAAAGCCAGAGGCCTCTGAGAGAGAGGGCCTGTTAACAATTGTAAGGTTTGTATTGTAGTCATTTCTGCTAAATTCAACTTGGGAAGGGGAGGTGCAGGGGCGGGGGGCTGGGGAGGGCTTTTTGGTTGGTCTGGAAAAAATAGTTTTGACAAAAGCCAAATGCACCTTTTTGTTTACAACTGAAAAAGGGTCCTTGACAAGTGTTTTATTTTATTTTATTTTATTATTATTTTCTTTGGTGTTGTAATTGTTTAGACTGCTGTGTACGGTTTGCTGTTTGTTGAATCAACAGTGTGAAAAACCTGCCAGCATGGATTGATATACGCATGACGTCGTCCCCTCAACTGGGGGCTTTGCAGTTCTAACTCTCTCGATGTAACCAGTCACCCCATGTATAAGTGGAAGCTGCTTGCTAGAATGGAGATGAGTCTCATTTGTTAATTCACAATGATTAAGCATTCTCCTTCTGATTCTAGTCAGATCATGATTTTTTTTTCTTTTCTTCTTAAAAAAGCAAAATAAAACACCAAAAAGCTACCATTAAGAACAAAACAGAGAACTTGTCCGAGTTAATTCCTTTAAGTTGAATAATGAAATCAGTTCTAACTTCTTTTTAGGTTCTCCCATTCATTCCCCCAAAATTTGGAATTTCTCTAAATTCCCTGGCATGTATGAGAAAATATTATGTGTGCGTGTGTGTATATATATATAGATATATATATGCATATACATACACACATATCCATGTATATCCACATATGTGCAGGTGAATATCTTCTACACATATATCCAGATATACATATATATACATAGCCTCGCAAATAGTTACTGACTTCAGGAAAGACATAGTTGGCTGGAAGCTGGGCAAGAATTCTGCAAAATTCATGTCACAGACCTGTTTTCTTCTTTTGGTCAAATGGGGGCGGACTAGGCTGGGTTGTTTGATTTTTGCTCTAGTGTTTGCTAGGCTTCTGTATACATATTGTATCTGGGCTAGGTCCCCTCACAGACAAGTGAATTATGAATTCCTATCCCGCAGCCCTAAATTTTTTCCTTAGATCTTAGCCGTCCTCGATCCAGAACTTTAAAGGCACCCAAATCGAGAATTGTTGGAACCACTAAAACTGTTAAAAACCATCACCACTAGTCTACCCATTGGTCTTCTGAACAGAATAGTAAATTTCATTTTTTAATTTATCATGATCATGACTAATTATCATAGTGGTCTCTTTCCCTCCCTTCCACCATCCCCCAGAACTCCCATCCTAAACCCCCCAGGGCAGGCTTCCTTTTGGTGTTTGATTGTATTCTGTAGTTCTCCTCTTGGCTTAATCAGCCCTGATTTTCTTCATTTTAGGGCAGGATGCTGAACGGGCTACATTAAAAATACAAACCTCTCTCTATATATATTTATAAATGAGAACTGTTGGATGACACCTTTGACATATCAGCCAAAATCAATCAAGCTGAAGACTCCAGACACTCTGTGACTGTAACATTTCTTCAAGGAAAGTATAGCGTCTATGGAGTTCAGAGGGCACGTGTTTGGGGAAAAAAATAAATTTACACATGACATAAAGACGAAGAGTACGAAGAAAAATGAGGAATGAAAAAAACAAAAACCACCAAAAAAAGGCAACTTTATAGACAAAAGAACATGAAACCAGACTGGGAGGCTGAAGGGCTGGGAACTGGGAAGAGATGCTGCCGACCGATCGCCGATCGCTGGGGCTTTGGCAGCCCATGGGCGCCTAAGAGGCAGGTTGGGGCAAGCGGTGTGGCGGGGCCTGGTCCCCAGGTGCGGCTGGGAGGCCGCCACTGACCATCTCTGCCATTCCTTTAGCTATTTAGGGACCAAAGGACCAAACTTTTTATCGCAGATGTTAGCTCTATGTCAAATAGAGGGGCAAATGGAGGGAATTCCTCCTTTCTGCCTCATAGCTGTTCTTGAAACAGCTTAGAGCGATTCTATGAAAAAATGTTATTAAAAAACTAAAAAAAAAAAAACAAACCACGAAAAAACAAAAAAAAAAAAAAGAAAAAATGCTTCAATGCTTTTAAAACAGCAAGATACTAGTTCTTTGATACTTCGAGAGGCGCTTTGATTACCCTCATTCAAGTCTAGGACACTTTCCTATGGTTTTCTGTATTATATGTCTGGATGGAGCTGTGAAGACAAACAAGACGACGAATATTTTGGAGAAAGCAGCAACAACAAAAAAATATGAAAACTCATCTAACTGTGAAGTGTGAGAAAACAAGGAGGGGAAAAAAGGACTTCGAAGGCAAGATAACTACTGTGGAAAAAGAAAAGTCTGTAAATGCTTCTAATTCTTTCCCCCTCTTAAAAAAAAAATCCTAATAGTTGTACAGAATTTTAAAAAAAAAAGAAAAAGTTTAAAATACTTATATAATAGAAGAAAATTAGAAGACAGCAAGAAAAAAAAATAAAAAAAAAAAAATATAGAAGTTAGCGTTACTGCTAAAATCCCAGATGTTGTAGGACTGTACTTTTGTAGCGTTTAGATTGAGCATCAATCCCTTCTCCCCGCGAGTGCTGTCGGACGCTGTTGTCTCTCCGGGGCCAGGCTGGACTCGCCCCAGACCTGCGGGCTCCTGGGTGCCCATCGCTGGTGGAGGCCTCACCGCCGCCGGGACGCGAACCCTCAGCCTCGCCCGCCCACTGCCCTCGCCTCTCGCTTCGCTTCCGGGAGCTGCGCGCGCGCTCGCTGGCTCTCCGCAAGCCCTCTGCTTTCACTCGCCTTCCGCGCTTGCTCCAGAGACTTTCCGGGCAAGGGAGAAACTGGGACCTTTCATCTCAAAACAACACACACACACAAAAACCTTAAAAGAGAGAGAGAGAGAGAGAGAACGAGAGAGAGAGAGAGAGAAATCACAATCTTGGAAGAATTTCTGAAACTGTTTACAAGGAATTTTGAAAAACAGGGATGTTTAAAAAAAATGATGCCGGCTCTGTTTTTCTGTAAATAAATTTGCATATTTTGTAGGACTTTTAATTGTAATGATAGAGAAAAAAACAAGGAAAACTATTTAATGAAAGCACGATATTTATCTTTGGTAAATGACTTTAGAGCAGTTAAAAAAAGACATTGCTTAAAAAAAAACTCAGAATCAGAAAATAAAACACTGAATTATTTAAGAACACATATATTTTAAAGTATAACATATTTATTATAATTTATTTGCACCTTTGGGAAGACTTGTTTTGGCACTTCGATGCCAGCTCACCTGACCCCCCTTCACCTGGAGGCCGGGAGAGGCTCTGGGACCAAGTTTTGGCGTTAGTTGGTCTATTCCCCCACTTGTTTGCTTTTAGAAGAACAATTCTCTGGTTCCTCTCAGGCCTCCTGCCTTTCCTTTCTTTTCCGTCAATTTTGTTGGTTTATTATTATTTTTTTAAAGATTTTTTTTCCCCTCTTGACTCCTCCTTTTAGGATGTTCAGATGTTGTAAAAAAAAAAATTACACAACAAAACCAACAACAACAAAAATACAGCTGCAGTTCAATACAACTGCTCTTTTCACACTCCCTAAAACTCCTTGTAACCTTCTGTAACTATTGGATGACGCTTTCTCCAGCTTAGCCCTAAATAAAGCACAGTTTAAAAAAAACAAAACAAAACAAGGACTCTTCAGTGGTCTGTGCCCCTGGGTTCTGGCCAGCCGGGCCTGCTGGTACTGCGGCTGACCCGTAGGAGATGGCTCCCAGCTCTCTTCCTGGTTGCTGTTACAGAGACTCTGGCCCTTAGGACCAAGTAGCTCTGAGCTTCTTTCTGGGAGGTGACAGGAATAGTGAAAAGAGGTCCTATTCCACCCTAAAAAATCCCCCTTGGCTGGTGTCTCTCTGAAAAGTTCTTTTGCAGGTTCTTTTTGGGATGGGGGTTCTGGGAACTGTGCAAATACAGCAGGAATTAGTTCTTTTCTCCTTGACTGGAGGAAATGAGACTGCTTGGTTTGAAGGCAGACCAGAGATTGGGATGAGTTTGAAGAGGTTGAAGGAGCTGGGGATGGAAGGAAGTGGAGGACAAGGTAAAAGATCCCACTCAAGGTCCTGCAGTCTAACAGTTTGCGTGGATGGAGAAAACTAAGACATCATCCTGATGTCCTTGGAGTCAGGGGTAGTCTGGGAAGTAGGGATGTTGGTGTAAAAGGAGATGGGGTGCTGCTGTGGGGTGTGGGGAATCCTGGAAGGTTGTACACAGATGGAGGGGGATGGCAGAATGCTGACGGCCAGAGAGAGAGAGAGAGAGAGAGAGTATGTGTGTCTTCCTGAAGTAGCTAGGACATGAACTGAGCCTTAGGTGAGAGAGAAGAGGGAACAGTTCTGACGTAAGAGGCCAGAGAGGTACATTAGCCACCTCTGACCCTGTCATGGACACTTCTCCTCACCCCACTCCTAGCCTTTAGCTCTGCAGGTGGGTCTAAGAATGACAGACTTCCATTGAGGATCTGCCCTCCCTCCAGTGCTCAGAACACAGGGACTGCCAGGTAAGGGGCGAGCAAGAGGTGTGATTTCCGCCCCCTGGCAGGAAGAAGACAAGGGAAACGATCTTCTCTCCATCTTTTTGTGCTCTCCCCATCCCACCACATGAGAGAGTGGGACATGGTCCTCCGACAGGGAACTCAGGGAGAACAACATGGAAGTGCCAGCTCAGAGCAGTACGGCTCCCTAGTCATCCTTCACCCCACTTCTCTCTTTTTATGCTCAGAGGCCAATTCCATGTTCCTGACTTAGTGTGTGAAACTCTCCCCTGGGGGAGTAAAGACCTACATGTACCACAGGGAGAGGGACACTCAGGAGAAGACTTACTTTTCCCCAAATCTTGTTGGGGGTGGGGCCAGATCTCCCTCTTTTTCTCGGACCCTTCACCGTTCCCAGCATGATGTCTCTTTCCAAGGATCTCTGACAACATACCCGAAGTTTGCCTCTAGGACCCTCTGCTAGATGGATTGACTCATTAACTATTAGAGATGATGAAGATGGCTCAGAATAGGGCAGGATTCAGTTCTAGGAGCCATAGATGACTCCACGGCACCTACCATCCCCTAAATGAACCCAGCCTGTCCCTGTCCATCTGGTCAGATAAGGGCATCAGGGCTCCGAGCCCACATGACAGCCCTTTGTCTGGACTTCTGGGGAACTTGTGGAGAGCTGGACTTCTTGGAAGATGAGCTTCAAGCGGCTGGACTGTGTTGTACCACCCTGATGGATGGAAAAGTATGTTCTAAGGAGTTCTTTTCTGGAAAATGAGTAAGGTTTCTAGGTTTTGAGCCTCAGAATAGTTAAAATCATGGTCTCTGTTAGATATTTGCAGCTTAATGACTGAATCTGCCAGAAGAAAGGACTGTTTCCTTCTGTTACTCTCAAAGACGCAGGAGGGAGACTTTTCAACTGACATCTCCAAGCCTTTCCTAATTCTTTGCATTCACCTCCCTACTGTGTCCACTTCTCATCAGGACATACCTCTGTGCTGCCTCCACTGAAGGTACTGTGATGTCAGAAAAGTCAGGGCTGGGGACCTGCCACCAAGGAGCTTAGCTGCAAAACCACCTAGTCCAGTCAGTTCTGCATACTTGACTGAGTGGAGAATGGACAGCACAGAGGGCCAGACTTGCTCATGAACTTGTATTCAGTAAGCCCACATACCAACTAACTAGAGTATGCATCACACCTTTTAGAGAGCGTATCATTTACTCACATCTGAGGGGAAAGGCATAGGTTCTTTGAAAACTTGCTCAAAATTCTCTGGTCACTCTATATATACCCAGTTAAGAGTGTTCAGGGATCCCCCAAGCTCATCCATCAACCCCTGGTTAAAAACCCCTGGTTTGCAGTGTTATTTAAGAAAATCCGAGGCACACTTTTCATTCATTCCTGCTTATATTCTATGGCATTGCTGTTCTGCTAATATTCTGCTCACAGCATGTGGCTTCTTCATAGCCCTCTCTTTTAAATGTTCTGTTCATTGTTATAAATGGTTTCTTTCAATCATAACCAAAAGCAGAAACACTTGCATAAAGAACCCCCATGTACCCACCGCCTAACTCCAACTTGCATCAACTCATGAATTATTTTGAAGCAAATCCAATGTATCAAGCCATCACCACATCAATAAATACTTCCGTTCCCCCAATGTTTTCAATGCTGCATTGATGTCCAAAGGCTGGCTCTGGCCTTCTGCTGAGCAGCTTGGGGGTGACTCTCCGTCACAGTCTTATCAAAGGGCAGACACAGGCTCCCGGGGTGAGCACTCCCATGCCTCCCCCATGCCTCCCCACAGTGCTTTTAAAGTCCTTTTAGCTCTCCCGTCCCTTTGTATTCCTATCTTCATTCTCACTGTTTCATGCTTTCTTCTCTTCCTTCTCCCATCCTTTCTTTGTAATGCTAATCTCAAAAGAATATATTTATGGACCTTTCATCTGATAGCACCCATCTCCTCCTGGGTTTTGATACAAAGAACATCAGTATAACTAAACACAAACATCCCAGAGCATCGCTGTCCACCTCAGGGGCTCCACACCCTCTCTTGTCTCTCAAGTGCTGTTTCCTCTAGTCTGGACACCATATTGGTAGGGACAGTGCTGAGATTCTGTGCCACTCTGCTTGAGCAAGTGGATAAAGGACAGGAGGGCAGAGAGCCCAGGTACCTAGCCCAGCCCAAAGTGAAGCCATCAGAGTGGGCTGCGAATGAAAATTGGATCATCTTCCTATCAGCTGTTATTAAGATATCACCCTCAATAGATTACTAACTCCAAGGTTGGGTACTCAGTCAATGTCCATCCATTACCTGCATGAGCAAGTTAAGGAAGGAAGGAAAGAACAAATTAGACAATTGGAAGTGTGTGCCCGAGAAGAGGTGTTCTGGAAATGCGACTTAAGCAATAACAGCACATTTGGAATGAGAATGTAATCACACTACCTTCAAGAAATAGGAGTTCTTTTAGGTATCATGTAAGACTTTCTC